ACCTGTATGGCAGACTACTTAAATTAGACAATAACTAAAGTTGTATATGTGGCAGATTTGTACACTCTTCATGTAATTACAAACTATAGAGGATTGTCAACAGACAACCTCATATATTAAACTAATAAAATCTGCTCGGTATAGTAAGCCGCCTTTAATTAAAAAAAAAAAAAAAAAAAATACAAAGGTCTAAGCTAAGTAAATTCATAAAATAAATATAGACTACTCTAGTAAATATGCTTTTGAAATTAACTAAAACTCTATATGCTTATAATATATTAAACAATATGTATTTCAAGAAGATCTAAGTCATACAATAAATAGATTTACAAACAAGTTAGCTAGCTTAAATAATTAAATATACTGATAATATTAGTTTAGAATAAAAGAAAAAGTTAATTATCAGATCTGGTGATCTTAGTGTAGTGGTTATGTTGCCAGACCGCTATGCAAAAGGTCTGGGGTTCAAATCTCACTGTCGATGAATTTGAATAATTACTCAGACTATTGTACTCAACTTATGATAAACTCTGCTCGTTTCTAGGGGTTACAACTCTATAAATCACATTGCACCAATGTCAATCGAACATTGAAAGTATAATGCAATGCTCAAGTTATATTATACGAATAAATCTTGATAGGATCTACAAGCAGAGGACCTGCATAGTAGAAATCTTGAGTTTGGTGAAGTAGTATGGATTTCAACGGTCAAGCCAATTAATACCTGATCCAGTGAAAAACCTGAGTATGAAGGATGTGAGATCGATAGGTGCGAATAAGTCCACTGTATAATGCAGCCTGGTGCCTTGTATTAGCGGCAACACCAACTTGGCTTGGCAGCTAACTAGATTAGGAGGATCTACCTCGTAAAATATCTGGCTGGAACTTGGAAGACTATATCTAGTGGACAGCTACAACAGGAACTAGGTTTGTATGAACATCGACAAGGGTCTAATCCAGGTGAATCTGTGAAATAGGTACATGACCACTCTGGTAGGAAATATTTCTGAGGTTAACTGAAGCTCTGCGGCTCACAATATATTGGGTATATACATCTTGAGATGACCTAAGCTGTGCAAAGAAATTGATCTGCAGGTGAACCAGCTGGCGTAAGCAGTTGGTCATAGTGGTGACGTTAGTTTGGAATAGGAGGAAGGGTTAATGATCAGAGTGTTTAAATAGGTAACTCACAGACAGGTTGCAGGTATAACAGCATAGTATAGAACCAATGGATAGTTGATCATCTGTATAGCGGACTACTTAAATTAGACAATAACTAAAGTTATATATGTGGCTTGTTGTACACTCATCATGTAACTATAAAACCTTAGGAACTGTTCATATGATAGTTCTGAAATAACAAACTAATAAAAATCTAATCAGCTAAGGAAGTGGTCTTAATAATAAAAAAAAAAAAAAAAGAAAAAGTTAATGATCAGAGTATTTAAATAGGTAATTCATAGGTGAGTTGCAGATATAGCAGCATAGTGTAAAACCAACAGATAGGCGGTTCAAGCAAGTGATATTCTGCAATGCATGCATGAATAATGTTTTATATAAGGCTATAATATTTACAATAAGAAAAATAATTAATTGTAGGTCTGGCGATCTTAGTGTAGTAGTTAGGTTGCCAGACCGCCATACAAGAGGTCTGGGGTTCAAATCCCACTGTTGACGAATTTAAATAATTACCCAGACCTTTATACCTAACTTACAGTAAACTCTGCTCGTTTCTAGGGGTTACAACCCTGTAAATCACGTTGCACCAATGTCAATTGGATATTGGAAGTATGACACAATGCTCGAGTTATATTATGTGAATAAATCTTGATAAGATCTACAGGCAGAGAACCTGCATGGTAGAAATCCCGAGTTTGGTGAAGTAGTACGAATTTTGACAGTCAAGCTAGTTAATGCCTGATCTAATGAAAAACCTGAGTACGAAGGATGTGAGATCGATAGGTGCGAGTAAGTTCGCTGTGTAATGCAGCCTGGTGCCTTGCATTAGTGGCAACACCAACTTGGCTTGGCAGCTAACTAGATTGGGAAGATCTACTCTGTGAAACATCCAGCTGGAACTTAGAGGACTATATCTGGTAGACGGCCATAGCAGGAACTGGGTTCGTACGAACATCGACAAGAGTTTAATCTAGGTGAATCTGTGAAATGGGCACATGACCACTTTGGTAGGAATTACTTCTGAGGTTAACCAGAGCTCTGCGACTCACAATACGTTGGGCATACGCATCCTGAGAGGACCTAAGCTGTGCAGAGAAATGGATCTGCGGGTGAACCAGCTGACGTCAGCGGTTGGTCATAGTGGTGACGTTAGTTTGGGATGGAGAGAAGGGTTAATGATCAGAGTGTTTAAATAGGTAACTTACAGGCAGGTTGCAGGTATGGCAGCATAGTGTAGAACCAACAGATGGTCGATCATCTGTATGGCGGACTACTTAAATTAGACAATGACTAAAGTTGTATGTGTGGCTTGTTGTACACTCATCATGTAACTGTAAAACCTTAGGAAACTATTCATGTGATAGTTCCGTAATAACAAACTAATAAAAATCTAATTGGCCAAGGAAGTGGCCTTAATAACAAAAAAAAAATAATTAATCGTTGAAATTAAAATTAGCAAATAATATTCTTGATAAAGTTAGCTAGCAACTCCTTCGGAATCTTTCGGATTACCCATCCCATGCTCGTGTTTTATGTTCGTTCATAGTCTACATCGTAACTTTTCAGATATGCCTTTATCATAAATTTTGCCTTAATGCTGGCCGAAATTACATAGGTGTACAAAACATAATTCATGATGCCTACGCTATCAGATCATATAAATTCTAAAAATTGATTGTCTCAGTATACATATCGATATGTGTTCGTTTTTTTTGGGGGGGGCACGGCCTAATTCTATAAATAACTTATTGCTTTGCATTTACTTTAAATCATACATCTAGCTTTCCTGGTTTTGCTCAGCTACCTTATTGCACAATTGACATCGAGTATAAACACATATTAGATGAAAAAATAACATCAATAAAGGGTCAGCCTGGGCCGGCCGGCCGCCCAAGCTTTTTAGGGCCCGTGATTTTTTCATCGGCCCATATCACTAATTAATTTTTTTAAAGCTTTGAATTAAAATATTTCGATAAATGTCTTAAACATCGAATTTAACCAGGTTTTTACTGGCTGAATCTGATCTATTCTTATTACAGTAATTTAAAATTCCAATTCGTATTTTATCGTCTTAATTAAATAAAAATGGATCCAATATAAATCCCTTTTTATACGACTCTACTATATTAGAAATATATTATACAGTATACAATATAGACTTTTTATATACAGCATAAACAATAGTGGACATAAAAACATATTTAAAGACTTGTGATATTTCATTCTAAATTATTAAGGACTCTCTGTACAGCAGTACATTGAAAAAAAAATGAATTTATGAAGAGTTATAATCAGAACAAAACATCATTTGCATATAATAAAACATTAATTTATGAATCAAAAAAAGTAACTCGTTAATTCAAACAATCGGAATAATTTCGTAAAATAATGCGGTTTCAGTACTTGATCCTTCCCATCCCCTATTTCCGGAAGTTGTAATCATATATCGACAATTTGGATCTATCACTAAAAATAAATTGAATTATGGATCTAATAAATAAAATTATCTAGCATTTTATATTTATCGGATTTACCAACTATATAATCCAACATTTGATATTTTATAAATTTTATACACTCGAGTTCACACATTGATAATAATTCAGAGCATAAAATTTTTAACTTTCAAATGCCGAACAAAGGTGGAATGCAAATTCCAATAAATATAAATGTCGGAAATACAATTTAAAGTGCGGCCATAACTTTGGAATCATAGTGTTTGCAATACTAACGCTATAAGGGATTACTAATTTATCCACCACTTCTATTGGCTGTACTAAATGTTCACTTGTCAGAGCAGTTAGATTATTAATCTAATTTTTTGTACTCCTATAGTGAAGTGTGGGATAAATTAGTAAAGCACTATGGTGCCTCACAGTTATTTGCGCATGTGATCTGATTGGTCTAATTTTATGATTATTATTATAAAATCGACCAATCGGTTCACAATCTGCTTAGTTATGAGGTACGAAGTGGCTCATAACTATTAGTTTACAAGTATATACTTTAAAGAGGATACAGATTTGTGATATAGTTCCACCATGATGACCTGGAACGATAAGAAATGGAACAATTGATCTTGCAGTCTCAGATTCGTCAACATTCCATAATCTTATATTATCTGTCGATGCACTATTAAATTTATGAATATGTTATTACGATAATAATATATATCTTTTTATTAATATAAAAATAAGAAACACATACCATACAATATGTTTACCATTAGGCATGCTAGCTACACAAGACACCGGTCCTGAATTACTTGGCATTTTAAATGAACGAACAAATTTCCCTGAAGCAAAATCCCATTCATCCACTAACCATGAAATTTTCACCATATAATATTAAGACCTTTACTTAATGTAAAAAAATAATATATATATATATATAAATAAAAAAGCTCACCGGTTCCATTACGTCGCCCACAGTAAATCTTATTACCATCAGCACTCCAACAAGCCTATGATTTCAAAAAAGTTTTTTTTTCGATTAATATACTAATTAAAAAGAGGCAAAACCTTTATATGAAATTGAAATACATAAGCATACTGATAAACACCATGGTGGCGTTTTTTCCGGAACTGGCAACTTTCTCGGTATAAAATTTGCCAGCCTTCTGTCCCATATAAAGCAATTACCGTCAATGCTCGTAGTAAGTAATATATCTCTAGAATGATTTATTGTATTATCTGATTCTTCAAACACTGTTTCAAGTGATGTAGGAGAACTTTGTATTGATGCTTGAGATGATGGTGATGAATGTGTAATCGGTCGAAATGCTATTGAACTAATTTGGGAATTATGACCAGAATACTCTCGCGCAACTAGGCCGGTGTGTAGATCCCAATGCTATAATTGTCATAATTTGTATAAGCGTGTTCGTCAAAAAAATAAATAATATAAAAAGACTTACCAATATTGATTTGTCCCATGAGCCACTCACAAAGCTTGTCTCATCACTAGTTATCTTCAAAACCGATACAGGTGATTTATGCTGTCGCATGACATGGTGACACCTTCCTTCTTCGTGTCTAACGGTAAACAAATTGATAGCGCCGCTCTAAAATAACAGGTTGAATTAAACTTTAATTTGAGTTTTATATGTCGTCACATTCAAAATGCTTATTTGTAACATAAAAGTTACAACTAACGACATTGCCTTCAAAGTAATCAATAAGGTTCTGCTATGAAATTTATGAAATTCTAACAACCCATAAGCCAGCTAACAAGTTCCCAATAGTAAAATCACCAGTTTTATTAAAATAAATTGAATTATATTATTTCAAAATGGTTGAATTTTGTATTCGGGTTCTTATTTGTTGGGTTTATGAGTTATCGGAATTTCGAATATATAATCCTAATTTGACTATTCTAATGCGTACCTCTAAACCACTCAATAACCAAACAGCCTCTGATTGTACTGCTAAACTATAGACAGATGACATTTTTAACTCTGGCATTGGAGGTTCCTGTACATTTGATTCGACTCCTTCTTCTGTTATCCCATCAGGATTTTCTACAAATGATGATTTTTTAATACAATAAACGTGTATTACTATCAATACATATGTTTATGACATACCAGGTTTGACTACAACTGGTAAAGATATCGGTATTTCTTCATTCTCCCAATATGATAATATTACACCAGCCTATGTATAAATTATAAAAAATTTTCAGCGAATATTACAATTTGAGATTTTTGGATATAAGCTAGTAACTCTTTTTGTAGACGATCTCGTTTTTTTTGTTTTACCTACCGCACCTTTTGAACTGATTCAACTTGTGTATGTTTTTGATTTTGTGTTAACAAAGTTTTACCTCTCATTGAAGAAAAAAAATCGTATTTTCTTATAAATCCATCCTCTCCACCAGTAAAAACCCAACGCATATTTTTTGTTACGTCAAGTGAATGTATGTGACAAGCTTGAATGGCCGCGACCTGCGTGTAATAAGTGTTTTAAACAAATAGAAATAAATAAAAATTCGCCAGTTTAAGATTAATAATATAAACTTACTAATGGAATTATGTCATAGGTTTTACAATCGTCTGCAAATGGTTGAAGTTTTCGATTTGGCATAATGGACGGAGGAGCATTACTACCAAATGGTTGTAAAGTTTCATCGATACCATATTCCTCTAAAAAATATACACAGTCATATAGGTAAGTTATGAAATAAAAGGAGAAAGTCTCTTTGAATAGTACCGTCCGAAAAGGGACTAGGATCTCTTCCTTCAGCATCTGAACTTTGTTGAGAGTCTCTAGAGTATATCTCGTCGTCGCTATCAGCTTCCATTTCGGAATTGAATTTTTCGATTTCAGTATAGCAAGTTTAGTTTAAATTGAGCTCTGGTGTAACTACTACTTAATATTTCACGTAAATTGGCCAATCAAATTAAAAGAGCATAACAGCGATCATTAGCCTTTTTTATTATTAAGGTTTTAATACTTGTCTAAACTAAGATTATATTTTAAAGACATACGTAGCTAGGGATGTTAAAAAGTCCGTCCGGTCCGGTCCTATTGTATATAAAATATGCGTGATTTAGAGTTAACCAATCGGAGTATAGTATAAAGTTATCAATCGCCCAGCTAGTTTTAAATTATGGTATTTAAAAAGTTTTGTTATTGATTCAAATTTATTTTTTTTTATTCGATGTATCAAAAAAAAACACTTCTTATTAATAATATCATGTGACTAGCGCGCTAGTTCAGAACCGGTCCCGAACTAGTCCCTCTAGTCCCCAGTTCAGACCGGTCCGAACTAGGCCCCCTGTGGACCACTTAACATCCCTAGACAGGGCCGATGATTTTCTACGGTGATAATTAGTCGATTCCGTCCGTGCTAAAATGCAAATTCTACGAATCAAATTGATAAATCTGCGTAGTATTTTTATGGTCTCATGCAATCTTTTAATATAAAAGTTCTAAAAAAATTTTTTTTAAAAAAAAAAATTAAATTACGTATTCGGTATTTCACGTTTTCTGTGGCAATTCTATCTATCGCTATACCTTAATTCCATGATTTCTGTGCAACGCAGAAAATTATCGGCCCTGTTTAAAGCGATTCTGATAACACCGATAAAATTATTGGAAATTCACGTGAGCAAGTTAAGAAAAGACAATTAAGATACTTAATATTTTTTCAAAAAAAAATAAAATTTCTGAATATGCAATTTTTCTTGTTTCATTTTTTTTTATTTTTTGAATAACGACAATATATTATGTACGTAGTATGCTGTGAATAACAAGAGTGATGTCTTGTTAGCGTATAACAGTATATATTTCTTGATTAATATACATGTAGTAGTTGTTGCTGTAAATAACAAGAGTGATGCATGTATATTAATATAAATATGTGACCGAAGACGGAGTAGTAATAGGTAGTAAAATCCTCTTGCAAGCTCTAGCCCGTACGAAGGTGACGGAAAACTATCTTGTCCAAAGGTTTACTGACTTATTATTCTAGTAAAGTCCTTGTCTTCCGACTCACTATGAGGTCATAGGATTAAATTCATTTTTTTGATATTTGTATCTATGTATCACTTTATATATGTATATTTTCTCTCTTTAGGTATACATCACCCGAATAAGAAGGCGAAAAACGTATTGTTTTTGGATTTTTATCTCGTCATATTTCGTAGTAGAAATTGGATAGCATATTGGTGAAATTTTGAAAACTTCTCCAATGACCTATATGTAAAATCTACGTATAGTTAGTGTTACAAATCGACAAAAAATTTTCAATCGATTAGTTGGTTAATTATTTTCTCAGTTGACAACTAGTCGATTAATCAACTAATAACTAATTGATTAATCAATTAATCGATTACAGGATTAGTTGCAACTAATTAATTAAATAATCAACCAATTTTTCAATCGATTGGTAATTAATTCTTTAATCGATTAGTTGCAACTAATCGATTAGTCAATCAATCGATTAATTGAGTTGGTATCTATCTACGTATTAGTTGTCAACTAATCAACTAATCGATAACACTACCGTATAGTTTATAAGAAATTCGAATATGAAATAAAAATTAAATTATTTAACATTAATAGAATGTATATTTTTAATAACTTAAAATAAATTTTTGAAAATTTGATATCTTATGGAAACACTTAAAATTTATTGAATGTTAAGTCGATTTTATCGACTAAAGCCAAATTGACTACAAACACTAGTTATGCGATCATAATTCGAATTCTAAATATATTTATATATATTGGAAAATATATATGAAATTACTTAGTCTTAAAATTTGAAATTTTAAGCGATTGTTAAAAACATCCTATATATTATCCTTTTGTAAACATTAATTTGGGACTTTCAGATTAATTGGAGAGCTTAAGATTATTCATGACCGAAAGATAGGCTATATGGATTTAGTCTTCGCGCAGGCACTTGTTGACCCTATTCATGAAAGGTTTGAAAGTACAAGATTTTGAGGCTTAGCAAAATAGAATTAGAGATTAGGGCAGATAAACGTATATGGGAAGTAACTGCAACAAAAAGTTATAGAGACAAAAAGTAACTGAAAATTAAAGTATGTCACAAATTCTTTCATTTATATCTAATACATTCCAAGTTTTTGTAGCAACCCTTCAAAAGATACTGTTTGATATGAAAAAAAATAATTTATTCAAATGAAAAAAAAATTACGAGAAGGTAATAAGCAATTATATCATCATTAAATTCACATTCAGCCATTCTTCAGTTAATAGGAATTATAAATTTCAATCCAGAGGTGGCAGCTGACAATATTGGTTATGATATTCAAGAAATAGAATGCACAGATTTGATAAAAATGCAAAATAAAGTCTAGCTGAATTTCGGAATGTGTTCAGATGAGTTATGAGCGTAGAAGAATGATCTTAGTTATAAGGAATATTATACAAGTTTGTTTTTTTTAGTGTAACAAAGGAAGGAATTATAGGTTCTCATAATATAGTAATTATACGTATATGCTCACCTTGTCCATAATCAAAGCTCAGGTTGTTGTACATTAGTATGCGGGAATATTAAGGAAGTATGAGTTATAATCTAAATAAATTTTTTCTATCAGAGTCTCATAATTTCTATATTTAGATAATCTCCGGCCAAAAAAAAACACATATTTTATATTCAAAGAACGACTTACACAATTTTTTCGAACAGGAAGAGGTCATCGAATTTCCTAATGGACAAATGTGCAGACAGCACTACTGAAACTCAGTATCCAGACAAAAAATTAGAATTCATCCAGTGCGACCATGAGAAGTTCAAAACGTGATGATAAAATTTAATTCACAGTATCAATACAATTTGTGATAAAAATTTTTATTTTTGTGGTTACTGAAGAAATAAAATAAAATAAATTTTCATCACGCCTTCACTTGAGATCACTTTTTATTATCACATTTCAAATTCCCATAGTCGAGTCACTTGTCCTGATTAACAAGTATGACTATAATCTCAATTTGAATCAATTACAATTCTTCTCGTTATGAAGGGAAAAAGACTGAAAATGTAAAAAAATAAATTTGCTATCTTTATCAGTTATTGGATATTGTTCATTATTTAATATAATTACGGACAACGCTATAATAATCTGAATAAATGAATAAATGTAATTTCAATAAATGTTATTTGAATTAGGTTAATAATTGTCATCTTTACATCATCGTAATTGTCTTTAAATAAAAATTTTACTCGCCTATGTCTGCATAAAATTTCCATAAAAAAAATAAATAAAATAAATAAAATTGTTTTTTATGGTACTTCACATGCTAATCATGATCTGGTTAATAAATATTGTAAATCAATACTGATAAACCCGTAACTAACCGACAAGTGTCTTAATAACAGATAAAACTCCTTTCGCTTAACCATTGTAATATAGTACAAGCAGAATTTGTTTGTTCAGGTCATAACGACTTTATTACTTCAGTATACTCTAAAACCTTCTTGTATATCTACAAATGTTCATCATCAACTGGTTTTTTGATGTGTTAGCATCGTTGGGTAAGGATTAAGTTAGAGCGAACATAATTTTTAGGAAAAAATTATAACTCCTGTTTGAATGAACGATCTATTTATTACAGGTCTCGTTAACAAAAACGCCAAGATTTTATTTTTGGGGTTAGACAACGCAGGCAAGACAACTTTGCTGCACATGCTAAAGAATGATCGTCTTGCGACATTGCAACCGACATTACATCCTAGTAAGCAAATCGTTTAGGTGGAGATCCATTCATTGTTGATATTTTTATCCAGTTTTCTTAGTTAACGTAATTCTAAATCCTAACAAATCAGCTTCGGAGGAATTATCTATAGGAAATGTTCGTTTCACAACTTATGATCTTGGTGGACATCATCAAGGTTTTTTTTTTTTTTTTTTTTTTTTTTTTTATAGTTTGGTGCGAATAAGGATAGCATTTTTGTGGAATTAAAAAATGGATCATATTTAGTTTATGCTATAATTATTGTTTGACTTAGCTAAATAATATATATATATATATATGTTGTTACTGCTTAGCTCGACGTCTCTGGAAAGATTATTTCCCAGAAGTTTCTGGTATTGTTTTTATGGTTGACGCTCAAGATCGTGAACGATTTGCAGAGTCCAAATTGGAATTAGATGTAAAAATATATATATATGTGTTTTTTTTTGGTTTATTCGTTTTACTCCAACTCAAAATTATTAATATTAAATTTGTCCCTATTAAATCTACAGTCACTTCTCTCAATTGAAGAACTTTCAAAAGTACCTTTTCTAATCTTGGGAAATAAAATTGATGCTCCAGGTGCTGTATCTGAAGATGAATTGAGACATGCGCTTGGACTGTATCAAACAACCGGCAAGGTTTGTTAATGTTAAGTAATTTTAAGTTTATAATAACTTTCCTTAATCATAACCATATCATTTAATCTTTTGTAATTAGGGTAGGGTTTTGTCAAAAGATATTCGTCCCATCGAAGTTTTTATGTGTTCTGTCGTTATGAGGCAAGGATATGGCGATGGTAAGTCGAATTTTACTTAATTTTTTTGTATATATAAAATTATATAGAATTAAGTATTGATTTTTTTCAACTATTATAGGTTTCCGTTGGGTATCTCAATATATGTAAAACTAGCTCCATACATCACTACTAGGGTTGTGGTCCAAACCTTCTTCTTTTGAATTATAATATTTACTTCATAATAGGTTTGGGAATCTGGATTTCTACTTCATTTTGAATAATAACAAAATATATGTTCCACATTCGGTTAATAGTTTCAAAAAAAACAAAAACTAATTCAATTTGTTAAATCAATGCTATAAATTATTAAAACTAAAAAACCTAATAGTGATTTAACAATTCTTCAGTGTATGTTTAATAAAATTGATATGTTAGGTCTAATCATTATATAGAATATGTACACAATATGTTAAAAATAATTATAAATGCTAAATAGTTTTTTTAAAAAAGTAAAAAATTCTTAGTAAATATCCTTTATATACCGGTTAAATTATTCTAATCAGTATTAATTAATTGTGGAAGAATTCGAGAATTTTAAGAACTCTAAAGCATTTAATCTAAAATATTATACGTATAACTTGGTTGAGCCTACCAGTGGTCATAAGATTTTATCGGAAGACATCGGAATTCTAATTTATAGCCGCCTGATAATGTTGTTATAAGCATTGTTAAATATTATAGCATAATGCTGGCCAGCTTTAACGTTTTCCGATCCCATATGGAAGGAAATTTTTAGTTGGGAATGCTGTAATTATTGAAATTGGATGAGATACTCGTAAACAGCTTAGCTCAAATGATCCGAAATTCAGGTTAGTTTTGGGGTATTCTAGCTAATCTGTTCGGAGCACTACTCATAAATGGGATATAAAACTCATAAGCAACTAGCAAGTGATTAATAAGTGATTCATAAGCAATTTTACGATCACTGATCAAATCATCACTTTTAATCTCAGTAATCTACGGTTTGCAAAATTATGCAGATCAAAAAAAAAAAAAACAACTCCGATATCTAGCGCTAGGTATTAAGATATCAGAAATCACTTAGAAATTGCCTAAAAATCTTTTTTTTTTTTTTTTGATGATCTGCAAAATTTACATAATTTTGCAAACCGCAATAATCTCTCATTCAATTTAAATAAGCGGAAATTTCCCAATTTCTGTGATTATTTAGATTGAACGATGAGATTAATTACAATTGATGATTTGATCTATGATCGTAAAATTGCTTGAGTTTTTGTATCATATTTATGAGTAATGATACGAACAAGTTAGCTAGAACAACCTGAATCTGATTAATTTCAGATCATTTGAGCTAAGCTGTTTATGAGTATCACTTTATTATCACTTATTTCAATAATCACAGCACTCCAACCGCTCATATGATTAGTAGTTGTTTAATATCAATATTCATAAATTTATTAATTATATAATTATATAATTATTTAATTGGTTAAAAAAAAATTTTAAAGCTTATAAAGTAAATAATTATTTAACAATTAGTTCTAAATTCTAAATTGATTAATTGTTCAACATATTTTTTTTTTTTTATTATTAAGGTGGTTTTCTTTGCCGATTAGATTTTATTAATTTGTTATTACGGAGCTACCACATGAGTAGACTCCTAGGGTTTTACAGTTATATGATGAGTGTACAACAAGCTACACATACAACTTTAGTTATTGTCTAATTTAAATAGTCCGCCATACAGACGATCGACCATCTGTTGGTTCTACACATGCTGCCATACCTGCAACCCGCCTATGAGTTACCTATTTAAACACTCTGATCATTAACCTTTCCTTCCATCCCAAACCAACGTCACTACTATGACCAACCGCTTAAGCCAGCTAGTTCACCTGTGGATCCATTTACCGCACAGCTTAGGTCCTCTTGGGATGCGTATGCCTAACGTATTGTGAGCCGCAGAGCTCTAGTTAACCTCAGAAGCATACCTACTAGAGCAGTCCATGCTCATTTTATGGATTCACCTAGCTAAGACCCTTGTAGATGTTTGTGTAACCTCAGTTCCTACCGTAGCTCTCCACCAGTGTCGTTTACAGATCTCACTGAGGTCTATTACGAGCTAGATCCTCCCAATCTAGTTAGCCGCCAAGCCAAGTTGGTATTACCGTAACATATAACGATTACCACTGCGATACGGACTTATGCGCACCTAACCTGATTAAAGTCTTTGAGCACTGTGTCTTTCTGGATCAAGCGTTAGCCGGTGTGACTGTCGAAAGCCATACTACTTCACCTACTCGAGGTTTCTACCATGCAGGTCTCCTGCTCGTAGATCCTATTAAGATTTATTCGTGTAACATTATATCTTTCCAAACATTGCATCATACTTCCAATATTCGAATAATATTGGTGCAATATGATTTACAGGGTTACAACTCCAGAAACAGACAGGGTTTACCGTAAGTTGGATACAAAGGTTTGAGTAATTATTCAAATTCGTCGACAGTGGGATTTGAACCCCAAACCTCTTGTATGGCAGTCTAGCAACCTAACCACTACACTAAGATCGCCAGACCTATTGTTCAATATATTTAATTTCTTGATTAATTAATTTTATTTATAAAGTATTATTAGATTAAGCTATAATGCTATTATAACAAATTCTTAAAAAATTTTAATTTTTAAATTGTTTAAATTAATTTTTTTTTATTTTTTTTAAAAAAAAAATTTAGTATAGTTTAATTAGGCTATATTTAATAGTTATACAAATTGTTTTAATTTTTTTTTAAATTATTATAACTTTTTATATAAGAAGTTTTTAAAAAAATTTGATTGATAACTTTATAGAATTATATTAACTTTATATATATATTAACTATTTTTTTAAAACCTTATTATTATAAAAAATTTTAGCAATTTAAAAAATTAAAATTTATATATAAATTTATATATAAATTTTAGAGAATATTATTATAGAGCTATAGTATTGTATTACTCTATATGTAAATATAAGATTTAGTGTAATCTAAAATATTTTATTTATTACTTTAAGGTTAAAGCCTTTGTTAAATTAGAATTAGAGTAATAGTAAAAAAAGATTTATACCAAATTTAACAAAGAATTTTTTTAATTAAAGAATATTGATAACTATAATCAGCAGTGATCATTATCAGTATGTAATTAGCTAATAAATTTGCAAGATCAGATGTAATATGTTGTATAACAAAAACAAAGAAATTTTTAAAAAAATACAATATCTTAAGAATTTGCCTATGAAACTACTTTCGATATTCTAACAAAAAAAATTTCTTGCTAAAATTTGTATATATATAATACCTTGTTAAAATTCTAGACCTCATCCTAATTCTAAAGTTAATGAACTGAAATCTTTTTATTGTTTTATCGTTATCGGCTAATTATACACTGGTGATGATTATCACTAATTATTTAAAGTTAAATTCTTTTTAATTAAAATACCAAAAGAAATTTTATATGCTAAATTTTGAGTTATTAAACATTTTTTAAAAAATATAATAATTGTATTAATTTTCATATTATATCTAATCTTTTTTTTTTGATTAGCTACAATACTCTAATACTATAGTACTATAATACTATAAATTAAAACTTTTATTATTTTTTAATTCTATATTTTAATAGTTTTTTATTATTATTTTCTAAAACTTGTAATACTAAGATTATGGTTATAACTATTAGTAAAAAAAAATATATAATTTATTATGATAGCTGAAGCTAAAAATTTTTAATATTTGATTATTAAATTTTTGAAATTTTTTGAGATGCATTTTTTTAGTTTTTTTTTTTATAGTTAGATTATAATTTTGGTTAGAATTTATATTAAAAAAGTATAAGTAGATTTTAGTAAGGTTTATAGTTTTGAATCAAGACCTCTAATTTTTGACTTCAGCTTTTACATTTATTTACTTTATAAGATTATATATCTATAGAATATTTTTAAAAATAAAAAAGATAAATATTATTGATCTTTTATAAGAAAGAATCTAGATTCTCTATTTTTGTTAATAGAAATAAAAAATTAGTAAGAAAAACTTGTAGTATATAGAGATTTTTTAAACCATTAAAAAGTATATAAACAAAATAATTTGTTATTTTTTTTCTTAAATCTTTTTTTACTAACTTTGTTAACAAAAAGCTTTTTTTTATAAACATTTTACTAAAATTTTTTATAAAGATTTTACTTTTTGCTAGTTATCTTATATAATATTACTTTTAGTTTATTTGCTAAATATACAAAAAAGTTTTTATAAAAAAGTAGTACTAGCTTAGTTAATTTTTATAAAAACTATTTATATATATATATTTTTTTTAAACTTAGGTGATCTTGCCTATCATTTATTAAAGAAAAGTTTAAATAAGCTACAGAGTAAAAAACTATAAATATTCTATACTAAATTACTCTTCTTTATGCTAATTCTAGACTCACTCAGCTACCTTCAGATACCTGAGTGCAATCTGCCGCAATAGCAATTTCCTTTATAAAAGTAATAAATTATATTCATAATCTACTTACTTCTAATTCTTAGGAGGCTACTACCAGCCTTTATCAAGATCTCCTATTTTATTTTAAAATGTGACCACTCTTCTTTCAAACTATGAGCAATCCATTTGTTAATTCTTTTATATACTTCTTCTTGAATAGCAAATTCTTTTTCTTTTTTTGTTTTCTTTTCTGCGTTAGGTAGTCTGCAGTTTTCTTTATCTAAATTTGCTTTTTTCCTTTTTTGTTTTGTCTTCTTTTCTCTTGCTAAGATATTATTTCTTTTTTCTTATTCGATCATAATTTCACATCAAAACTTCCATAGACGTTCAAAAAAGTATGTCCAAAATTGATCTAAGAAAAATAAAAGTATATTGTTTGTTTTCTTTTTTGAGTTAGTTAACTTTGTAACCTCTCTTTGTTGTTTAACACTTGTAAGTCCTCTTATAAGCAATTTTCTATTTTGTATATGCGTATTTAGCTCATTTCTAAAGATAGCACTTCTGAACGATCTATCTTCTAGTGAAATATCTAGTTCTGTTAATGCTTATAAGCCTATTAACTGCAAAGCTTTCTCTTCTAAGTTTTTCTATATCTTAATATACATTTCGTATTCTGCAATATG